AACTTACACACTCTGAAATCTGCTGTTGGCTCTTGTTCTTCAGCCTTTGACTTCAAGACGCTGAAAAGCTGAAGCAGCGAGTTGTAGGTAAACGAAGTAGGAAGCTTCTCAATGAGCTTCCTTCTTCGTTTACCTACATCTCGAAGTTCGAGATGTCGTCTCCTTCGATGTTGACTTCTGCTCAGCCTCTTTCTTTCTCTATGATGACAAGCCTAGTTCCAACTTTTGATGCAGTTAAAGTAGAAAGTATGTAGACACGCTAGTGTTCTTGGATAAGTAAAGATATCCAAGAACACTACTGTGTCTATATACTTTCTACTTTATAAGTCGTCATAAGTGTTTAAGTTCCGCCATTTTGGCCAGGCAAACTTGGCAGATCACGAGACAAACGACTCCCTTTGCTCCGCATTCTTCCGAAAATATCAAATGATACTGATTCAGTGTTATTGAGTTTGTTGGTTTCTTTTCGCATTCATACATGACCGAGAGGGGATTGGGAATTAAATTCGTCACTTAAAATTCGGCGTCTAAATCAAATGCCGTATTCAATAATTTAAGTCGACTAAAATAGGAGTTGTATTTGGCACATGCGAAGTTCGGCGTATAGCGAGGGCCTTAACCACGCCTAGCTATGATCGGTTGCATAGCAATGAAAACGGTTTACTAAACGCGACAAGTCCACGTGCCTCGTTTGCGGAAAAATTCAAGCACAAATACTTGACCATCTGGTGTAGCAGTTACATCATAAGAAACATCCATGATTTGAGCGTCTCAGCGTCATGAACTGAGCGTCTTAACTAAAGATTTGCACGCGGTAGTTATATAGATCACAGACAAGAAGCATTTCTTTACCAAACACAACAAGTCCATGTACACCCTTAAAATGACATTCTCTGTTGCCTTTCATTCCAAACCGTCGTACAGTAGACTACCATTCTCGTCAAAAACACAAACAGTGTTCACACCAAGAAACTTATAGTTAGTACTTATTGTTGTCATAATGAGAAAGGCATCCCACGACCATCATCAGGAACATCCAGTTTTATAAAGTTCTTTGATAAACACAGTTATGATGTCTCTTAGTATTCTTCTTGTAACACAAACACGCGATGGTTTGATTGACTGCACACATTCTTTTCAATATAATTTTATAAGGTACTTTTGCAGGTACCATCGATGTCAAATACCTAGATACAGCCACAACTTTCTGTATTTTCGGTGATGGCCACTTCGTCCTCATTGAAGATTACTCCAGATGGATCAATCAGATGACCACCTCTTGATCCTGCACCATCAACGTCTCGCAAATACTCTCCCACCATCAGCATTGAACAACACAACACGGGAACCAGTTTTAAAATCATTATTAACCACAATAATATCGCCACTGTCACTTACATCAAGTGCAATAGCGCATCCTTTCTTTAACATCAATTCTCCTCAAGTGTCTAAATTCTGCTTTAGCATCAATTGTATTAAAACGTTCTGTGGTGAGTTTTTCTAGTAACTTCTTTTTCTCCAATATTCACAACAACTTTGTACGATGAAGGTTTTTCTGCTTTAAACTTTACTAGGAATGGCCCAGTTTCTAAAACTGGACGATTCCTAGTGAAGTATAAAGCAGAGAGACGTTGCCGTCAGTTCTTTCTGTACATCGTTGACATCAAAATCTTGGATTTGTACATCAATTGAGCGTTCTAGCATACATCCCCTCCTGAGTTTCTTATCATGATCATAAATTCATTGATTTATGGGAAAACATTAGCTGGTTTTTGACTTATTAAAATTAATACTTCCTACTATTCATTTCATTATTTTGAAGTTCATTTGCAACACAACCTTTGAATGAATTAAACCTTACATCTATTTCGCCCTCTTCTAACTGAAAGAGAAATGCAAAGTCACAATTAATTAAATAGAGGATATTATATGGGCGCGTGAAGATACGGATTTTATCTTCGAGTGTTGAAGAGATCTCTCATGATTTTAGCAGAGCGAACAAGTAAGAGATTTATTTCAACACGAGAAGATAAAATCCTGCGCATCATTTGTTCTATTGGTGTTATTATCGTACCTCATCCCAGGCATACAGTTCACTATAACATGCTTCAGATACACATTTTCTTGTGCATTTGATTTGCTCAAGTCCTATCAAATCTAAACATGATCTGGTTTCACATTCGCGCTCAATACCTTTGTACATTTTTGCCTGAAAAATAAAGTGAAATTTATTGTTATGAAATTGGATTGGCATTTATTAATACTTGGTAGTTATCCATATTAACATATCCATGAATCAGTGCTGACCCTAAAGAGAAGTCCAGTAGTGAAAAATGAGTCAGCTTTAATTTTGAATAATGAACTGTGTCAAAAGTGCCATGGATAGATAGATAGATCTTGAATTGAGTTAAAATTAACCCTATATTTTATTTCTAAATTGATTTTCTAGTTGTATTATTTTGCAGATATACTGATGCCAAAGAATGTGAAGAACTTGTCGAAAGAGAGAAATATAGGTCCATGTGTGTACAATATCTCATATAATTAAGTTATATATAGAGGATATAACATGGTCGCTTGGAGATACAAATTTTATATTATCGTGTTGAAAAGATCTCTCACGAGTGAGCATATAGGGAAAGAGTGAGAAATTTTCAACACAAGAAGATAAAATTCATATCTCCAAGCGACAACGTAATATTCTGTTTATCATATAATTAGATATGAAAGCAAATTGATGCCTTTTTTCTTACTTTCACTATATAAACAAACCTCCAATGTGTTATTTTCACTAGTAACAACCGAATTTACAAAATGGAGAAATATCATATTTGCATCGGTAATAGCATGTTTTGTAGTGGTATTTGGAATAAATACCATGCGTGATATTTTAAAATTGTCAAACAAAATTTATATGTGACGTCACAACAATACTTTTTTCGAATTTGTTGAAATCTCATTAAAGTGCATGGTAAAAAGTAGCTATCTACCAAATTTCAGTGTCATAGTGCCATTTTTTGCCGGAGATACAAGCGATTTTAGACCATTTTATGGTCGGGTGTGAACACATACAAATGCTTGTAAATTTGGTCTTGTTCATAACCAAGGAACAAGACCACATTTACAAGCATTTGTATGTGGTCACCTGACCATAAAATCGCTTTTATCTCTGCTATAAATGGCACTAAAACACTAATATTTAGCAAGGATGCATTAAAAATGATGCACTTTTCAATATTGAGGGCAAATTTAAAAACTCAAAGATTTTCGTTTTGTGACGTCATCACTTGAGTACTTATGCCGCTACCATGACAAAGCAGCATTCATCGCATTCATATGTATTCAAGACTTAATTCCTAAATTCCTAAACTACATGCTTTATACTGCATACATGTATCCTTGTACAATGTAAGTTAATATCAAACGAAATGCCATTATCTTTGTAAGAATATTAAAAACAATAACAAGAAAATTTATTTTTTGGTTTCAGACCCACTATGGTCAAGAAAATGGCGTAACGTAACATAGTTTAACTGACATACATGTACATGTAACAAGCTAGATTGTAACACTAAACTTCAATATGCACAATATGCACCACATCTCTTCTTGAAATATCAAAATTTGATATTTACATCAAGTTATTTACTCTCCCACTAGCTGATTGTCAAGCATAAGCTTTATAAGACAAAACACACGAAGCATCCACTACCTTAAAACATGCAAAGCTTACATCGTATCTAATTACAGTTATACTTAGTAATTACTTACGTGTTTTTGCTTCTTCCTAAATGAATAGTATTTGAAATAAAAATCTTTCGCCTCTACAAGACCATGCAAAGCAATCGCACAAAGTACAAAGATCAACGAAAGGCTATTTGTATTCATGGAGGCGAAGCGATGGCAGAACATTCGACGACATTCGAAACCATCTAGTTCGCTTGGTTGCCTAGCCTTTAAGTAATACCACAGGAAGCCCGGTAGTCCAACATTTCACTTCTCTTTTTTAAAAATATTTAAAAATATTATTTTATCCATTCATTATTCGCCTATTTATCAATACCTTTCCTAGATGATCATAGACGTTAAACTTCCGAATGATGTCACGTACACAGTGACGCAAAACCAAGAGTTTTATTTCATTAGAGAGTCTTTTTATTGATTAACATGGATTTTTTTTTTAGATTTTAAGACTTAAGATGTATTTAAAATAACTACTCCTGTTAACTGCATTTACAATACAAATATAAAGATACAGCTGCTTTTTCATTCGAAAATTAGTATATAAGGATTTTTTTTCATTTTGTTGGCATCGGTTACCCATATTTTTTTACCCATTTTTTTTTTTTTTTTTTTTTTTTTTTTTTTTTTTTTGATTTTCAAGGAAAATTAACGTAAATTTTCAAAATTAAAACAAATCATGAGTAAATTTGCAGATAGTAAGTGTAGAAAAACTCTTTTTGTTCTCGATTGTCGACAAAATTATTTTGAAAAGCACTGCCTTGTATAAATTTACTTATTTTGGCGGTTTTTAGAAATACTCCGCATTGTGGGTGGTTGGATAAATCATCTTCATCATTATAGGTAGAACGGTTCACTTGAGGGCTTTCTAAACCATTTAAGATCGGTACCAGTAAAGTTTATAAAAAATAATGTGCATGTCGACGCGGCAATAACTTTAATTGACGCCTTCTTTAGAAGCGGGTTGATAAAATTAAGCATATGATCCATGCCACACTATTAGAATAAATTCAAATATTCTATCGATCGAAAATTTGTGGTTTTTGAGACATGGAGGCTGTAAATAGTGGCAAAGGAGCTTAATGGAGAAGAACTCGTTCAAAAAATTAAAACATGTAAGTCTCACTTTCAACCATGCTTTTATAAGGATTTTTTTCTGTTATCATTTTCCCCCCTAATTAATAACTTTGTTATTGTTGTTGTTTTTATCCGAAAATCTTATAAATAATCTGAAAATGTTCCAGTTCTCTAAAAATTGTCCATAAAGTTTAGCCCTTGTACATCAGACTGAACTAGGAAACCTTCGGCTGAAAGGTGAAAGCAACGTTCACCAAAATCATCCAAATCATTAACTAAACAAACTTTCCCTTCTTTAAGTATTTTCACAAATGTTCGGTCATATTTGAGCGATGGCAGTTTTCACGAATTCAGTGAAAATGCGGAGACTGAGCAGATGTCTCTCAAAATGATGCGTTTCTTGCCTTCAAGAAGTTCTTTGTTAGTTGTATATAGATTGCTATTTTTGTGATCGGAAAATAATTCTCAATAACACAGAGTAGATGATTTAAAATCCGTTATAGAGAGGTATAGTTTATTTTAGGTAACTTTGATCATGGGGTCCGATTCGAAAAATTTGCGCAAATGAAAAATAATTGATATAACAGAAAATCAAATGAACCCATTATGTTTAATCTTTGCTTTCAGGATCACAAAATTGTCGGCGTACCCACTCGACCCCTACTCGCGTCATCGACTATAACGTTCTTGTTGTTTTGCAAATGCTCACAAGTATATATTTTCTGAAAGCTTAGTGAATGTAGTTTATGCCTATAAGTGTTTGGAAAGCATGTAAAATTACACTTTAGAGTTATTAGCTCCTTTATCCGAAATCACAATCATTAAAATGTGAGGGTTTTGGGTACGCTAAATTACCAAATAGACTAAAAATAACATAAATACTGAATCAGCTCATTCATTCCCACCTATCTATTACATACTCGCAACCTCGCTGTCTAGTTAGTACGTAGTACTTTTCACTTTTAAGGCCTGTTTACATTTGCGACTTTTGCAGCGCGGTTGGCGCGCGACAACCTCCACCTATTTGCTATCGCGCAACTCAAATCGTACGTGTAAACAGCCCTGCGCGATTGTTCGGCGATTGAAAATCGCCGAGGAGTTGCTGCTAAATTCAAAGCATGCTCGAAACGCGACAATAGCACTGCCAAAGTGTAAACGTTGCTTTAGTTCCGTTTGACCAGACTGGATGTTTTTTCCAGACGCTCTTAAAGAGCTTACTCGGATTACCTGTTAATATGCTACTAAACGTGTAGTCCAAGTTACTATAAAATGAGCATTCTTTGCTGAGAAATTTTCAAACTATAATATAGCATCAAAGTCAAATTTGTTGGAAAATATAGCTTATGTGTTGTTACTTATTCATTTTAATTAATTATATTGCTAAAGAAGATGCTATGTCTCGAGTTAGGTGGGCATCGTTTGGTTTTGCGTAAAGTTGATACATGTATCATAGGCGTCTGTACGATGTTTTCTTGATTTTGTTGAGCCTGATTGCAATATCCAAAAAAAGAGGGCTTGAATATCCAAACCGACTTTTTAAATTTATATCATAGTTACTATGTTTATATCAAATGTCACTTGATGATTGTTTGAAGTCATATTCACGGCTTGTTAAAATGCGCAAAGGGAGTTAACATCCCACACTGAATCCGCGCAAACATGTATACTTAACCGCATTGCACAAATATTTGTCCAAAACTCGCTATTTCAATGACTGAATTAATTAAAAAGTCCGACAATGTTAATGAACTCTTGCAAACACCTATGGTTATCAACTTCCATGCTTATTTTCTTTCATCGCTCTCTTAAGTCTCCGTTCGCGTCATTATATGTCTGTTTCCTCTTATGAAAATGATCCTTTGTTTTTAACGAACAACAAAAGGTGTAAAAAGAAATTCGATTGCGATTCAAATAGAGAATTAATTGCATCCTGGTTGGGTTGCCTGTGGAGTGCAATGATCTTGATTGTGTTCTAATGAAGTCATTTGACATCTAGGTGTCTTCACGTTCAGTTCATTTCCTGGTAGCGAAAGGCGTTCTAATGGTTTCATAGTGCTCTTAAAAGCAACTGAACCAAACCTTGTTCAAAAACAACGCTAACGATCTGTGAGGTAAGATTATATATATTTTGATTAGATTTCTGCTGTTCGATGTTTGTTTATTGACCACTTAGAAATACAAGGGCTAACAACAGCTATATAAACATGTACAGGTGTTTAAATTTCGCGGTTTGCGATGGTGAATTTTCCCCCTTTTTATTGTCGATTTTTGGTCATCTTCTGAATTTTTTGCGGTTTTTGTAAAATAATAATGTTAATCAAAACAAACAACAATTTGTATTAATAGACAATTTTTTATGATTGAGCTGCGCAAAGTCCACAAAGCAACGTTGTAAAGAATATAAGTAGGCAAGTGTGAAGCCTAATCTTGAATTATAAAATAAGAATCACTTGAAGTATAAATATTGAAGAGAAAATAAGTAGAATAATATACTAATTTATGACCCCGTTTTTCGAAAAAAATGTGCATACAAAATTCACCAATATGTCGAAGAATTTATGCAGCGTTTGCTGGCGATTGATTTTTGGTCTCTATTTGAGTAGTTAATAATATGTGTACAAATACCATAAACAGGTTATGATTTTGATCCAACAAAATATTGACGTTTTAGAGTCATTGTAAATATGTCAGTATATCAGAGATTTATGGGTGGGGCTGTAAAATATTGTATCGCAGTCCTTCCCTTTACTTTCCTAACTGTCGACAAATTATCATCAAGAAGGAGTACATTTTTCAGTAAGGCTAGCATTCCCTTATTTGACTTTCGCCCAAGGCCTCTATCAAGCGCATTACCCCTCCCCAAGTACGGTAGCAAGTTTTTAGGTACGGAATAGTCGTCCTCGAAAATTCTAGAAACATAGATCGAGAGAGAGAGAGAGGAAGAAAGAAAATCATCTTTTCTTCATCTTTTCCGAGGTCGCACCTGCTTGGCAAGCAAACACGAAAGCATATACTAAATGGTTTTCTGAAAGAGCTTGCAATTTGAAATTAGGAATTAGAAAGAGGCCAAATTGATAATGTTTTGGTACTGCAGAGGGGTCCAAAACGATGTTGGTTTTGATTAAACTGCAATTTTTTTAGTAGTTTGGTAAATTTGGGTCCAAATGATGGACTCAAACATGTTTCAGTCATAAAATTTTTGCCAGGAAACTTTATTTCAGTTTTAATGAAGAAGTGACGTAAGGACGTTTGGTGCTTAGAAAGTTATAAATAACAACAAACGATTCAATTAACAAATAGATTTTGACGGTAATTCACAGATTTAATCAGTATGTTTTGTGATAGAATTATGAGCTGCAACAAAAGATAGATTTTTTATTTAAATAACGAAGAGTTGTTTTAATCTATTTATTTTTTTTATTTTAATCTATTTATTACAGAATGCAAATTTCTATATCATATCACGAAATTCAAGAAGAAGGGCAATTGACAGAATATATGGGGAATTATTATTTAACCTATTCTCTCCTGAGCACAGTATCCAATGGCGGGGCATGGTGTACCGGCATGCAATGCGATCGTGTTGAAGGATTTTTCATATATAGAAAATGAGGTGACTTCAAATATATCCAATCGCTATTCATTTCCATCCGTTAGTTTTAAGGTCGAATCTCACAATATCTCCATTTATAAAGCATAAAGGGATGATAAAGAATAAGTTTTGTGCTTATAGTATTCCCATGAAATTTTATTTTCAAACATAAACAAAACCTCAAAAGTCTCTAACGAAAATGATAATAATGAAAAAGACAAAGGAAGCTTTTTTAGTGAAGAGAACGTTCACCAACAATTCACGATTGAAGCAGTTGAACACATTCTTCAACACGAAAAATCTGAGAGCAAATTCTTCGTTTTCACGTTACGTCACATCGGCCACCTTGGAGGAACTTTAACAAAGGATTTCTCATTGGTCATCCTCTGGAACCCTGGAATAATCTTCTGTCGTTTGTTCCTCACTCCCAGAAAAATACCTCTTCTCGATTCGAAGTTAAAAATGGCGGCCAGTAAATTAATAAACCAATCAGAATGTTCAAGTTCAATGACTCGACCAATCACA